GAAGCTGATTCGCTCTATGACAGGACATGCAACACGTGTGGGTAGCCTATCATGGAACAGCTATGTCCTCTCAAGGTATCTGTCTGTATTGTTTTTATCTTGATGTTTTGTTGTTTTTTCATGTACAAAAGGTATCTACCATTTCTGGTCTCGAGTCTGGATTAGAAAGAAGAAGGTTTGGCATATTGTTTGCTTAACTATTCCTCCCCATGTGGGATGAAGTTTTTCATTATTAGAAGCTCCACCCTGGCTTTTGCCGGAGGCCCTAAATATAGCCAGGCCATAAATATGGCCTAACGGCTGAAAGGGGTTTCTGGGACCTCTCCATGGGTGATCCTAATCCATATGGTAGCACTTTGTGTCACCGGGTGTCTATCGCTTGTGTGATGTCCTAGTGGGGTACAACAAGAGAGAGAGAGATGGTTTGACTATATAACAAGGATGCCAGCAGACAGTATACAACAAGCAGAGATAAACAGACCAGGCAGGAAGTGAAGAGGCCGCCCATGAAAAAGATAAGCAGAGGGAATAACAGAGTCTTGGGAATCCCCATTTATGGAGTCACAAACCGGCATGTTCCTGTAAATTATACTTCACCTTGACACCACAAGGTACAAGAAGATCAAGATAAGTGAGAGTACTATCTGCAACTGTACAGTGTTCAGATGATTATAATTACTAAAGTTAGCAACCAGGGTATTCAGTGCTTTCTTAATATCCTACACCAAACAAGGAAAATCCACAGGTCATGGGACAGTCTAATATTTCAGGAGGTGGTAGATAGGCTGCATGCAGTCATGGGACCTAGGCTGCACTCTCTCATGGGACTTGGGTAGATTGGCGTTAGGGCCAGTTCTAGATGTTTTGGGGTCGTAAAAGCATCAGAAAGCTGTGAAACCGAGTCTTACCACCCTCTAAAAGTTTGGACTGTCCTGTGCTGCATCTCAGGTAGGATATTATGAAAGAACCAGGGGCTTTTATTGTGGCGGGGTGTGTTCATACCTACCTGAACTGTGATACCACCGGACTCCATTGCATTTCAGTCCTCAATGTTATGAGTTTTGTCAGTCACAAAAACAATTGTCTTGCTTGCACACATCTTTATGCTGTAGTAGAGGTCGGCCTCGACATCTTTTGCCCGTCTTTAATTTACCTTAGGGACTCTGCCATTCTCCAGGTGTGACCCAGCCACCTGAGCCTTCAGAGATTGAGCAATGAAAAGACTGTTGTAGTTACCTGCTCTTTCCAGTAGCTCAGTGTTTGTGATCTTGTCCTGCCACTTAATGCCAAGTATTCTTCTTAAGCATCGCATGTGAAAGCATTTGAGCCGTCTCTCCAGGTGCTAATAAGTCTCATAGCCATAACACAGAGTACTGAGAACACAAGCCTGATAGACAAGGGGTTTTGTTTCAATTGTGAGCTTTCTGTTCTCCCAAACTCTCTTTGTCAATCTGCTCATTGTTGTTGCTGCCTTACCTATCCTGGTGTTGATTTCTTGATCCAGCGATAGTTTACTATTCACTGTGGAACCCAGATAGATGAAATGGTCTTTTGTCTCCAGCTCTTCACCGTCAATGTAGACTGTTGGACTATCATTAAACACCTTGCGCCATAACCTTTGTCTTCTTTTTGCTGACTGTTAGTCCAAATTCACAGCATGCATCAGCAAGGGCAGATAGTAAACATTGCAGCTCCTCCTCTGAGTGGGAGGTTATTGCAGCATCATCTGCAAACAACAGCTCTCTGATAAGTAACTTTTAAATCCTGGGTTTGGCCTTCAGCCTGCAAGCACTGTAAAGGCTGCCATCAGTTTTAGAAAGGATGAATATACCACCCTCCAGGCACCAGGCAGTGAATGTTTGTAGGTGGAAATGTTGTAAAAGTAAAGTAAAGTAAAGATCCCTTTTCACGCCTTTCGGCGCATCGGGCATATGGGCAGAGCGTCCCATATTTTTACAGACCATCAGCACTCGGTGGGTAATGTGGTCAGCATTACGCCGGCTGCCTTTACTTTCCCAGGACAGCCCATCCTGGTACCCATTTTAGGCTGGGTCGACCTGCGACGTCCCATACCACGACAAAAATCCACGAAGCCTGCAGTGGGTTTCGATCGCGGTATGCTGGCTTACGAGTCGGACTCGCAACGCCTTAGCCACGGACGCCGCTGGAAATGTTGTAGTTCTGCCCCAAATCTGATTTGACCTTAAAGTTTCAGGATGTAGTTAGTAATCAGTTTGTGTTTTTTGTTCTAGTGGGTCGCGCACAGGTGCAATACATCATCATGATGTTCGAATAGCACAGCACCAGATTGCTACTTTAGAACATCACACTCAAGAAGTATGTGGGTTGCGCTGGTCCCCAGATGGACGCCATCTGGCCAGCGGTGGCAATGACAATCTGGTCAACATCTGGAGCAATCAGTTTGGTTCAAATGCTGGAAGTACGCCTCTGTACACCTTCACTGATCATCAAGCTGCGGTCAAGGTAAGTGACCATGGCAACTACTCATCTTTATGGATTTTCATTTGATTGGACAGAAATATGATATTAGCGATCAAATTGAGGGGTCGAGAGTTTGAATTTGTCAGATCCTGGCCTGTCCAGCTGATAAATTCAAGGTGAGCCAATGGCTGAAACTGCTGTGTATGTGTAAAATATTATGTACAAGTCATGGCACATTGAGATGTGACCAGTTCCAATCCCCCTGAACATGGCAGGAACATTTTAGATAAGACCAAGCACTGATTACTTCCACTGTGAACTTTTTACTGAAACATCTACTTCATCTACTCTCGCTGTTACTGAAGGTAAAAGTTCAAAACTGATGCTGCCATACAAGTGTGCAGTGGAGATCATAGATCTATGATAGTGGATGAGGCTGTCGCCTCGTGAGGTTGGATCAGGTCATAGCACTATGTGGTTGGATCAGGTCATAGCACTGTGTGGTTGGATCAGGTCATAGCACTGTGTGGTTGGATCAGGTCATAGCCTCGTGAGGTTGGATCAGGTCATAGCACTGTGTGGTTGGATCAGGTCATAGCACTGTGTGGTTGGATCAGGTCATAGCACTGTGTGGTTGGATCAGGTCAAAGCACTGTGTGGTTAAATCAGGTCATAGCACTGTGTGATTGGATCAGGTCATAGCACTGTGTGGTTGGATCAGGTCATAGCACTGTGTGGTTGGATCAGGTCATAGCACTGTGTGGTTGGATCAGGTCATAGCACTGTGTGGTTGGATCAGGTCATAGCCTCGTGTGGTTGGATCAGGTCATAGCACTGTGTGGTTGGATCAGGTCATAGCACTGTGTGGTTGGATCAGGTCATAGCACTGTGAGGTTGGATCAGGTCATAGCCTCGTGAGGTTGGATCAGGTCATAGCCTCGTGAGGTTGGATCAGGTCATAGCACTGTGAGGTTGGATCAGGTCATAGAACTGTGTGGTTGGATCAGGTCATAGCGCTATGGTTGGAACAGGTCAAAGCACTATGGTTGGAACAGGTCCAAGTACTGTGTGGTTAAATCAGGTCATAGCACTATTGTTGGAACAGGTCCAAGTACTGTGTGGTTAAATCAGGTCATAGCCTCATAGTTTGGATCATGTCATAGCCTCGTGAGTTTAGATCAGGTCATAGCCTCATGAGGTTGGATCAAGTCATAGCCTCGTGAGGTTGGATCAGATCATAGCCTCATGAGGTTGGATCATTTCGTGGCACTGTGAGGTTGGATCAAGTCATAGCCTCGTGAGTTTAGATCAGGTCATAGCCTCATGAGGTTGGATCAAGTCATAGCCTCGTGAGGTTGGATCAGATCATAGCCTCATGAGGTTGGATCAGGTCATAGCCTCATGAGGTTGGATCAGGTCATAGCCTCATGAGGTTGGATCAGGTCATAGCACTGTGAGGTTGGATCAGGTCATAGCACAGTGAGGTTGGATCAGGTCATAGCACTGTGTGGTTGGATCAGGTCATAGCACTATGTGGTTGGATCAGGTCATAGCACTATGGTTGGAACAGGTCCAAGTACTGTGTGGTTAAATCAGGTCATAGCACTATGGTTGGAACAGGTCCAAGTACTGTGTGGTTAAATCAGGTCATAGCCTCATAGGTTGGATCATGTCATAGCCTCGTGAGTTTAGATCAGGTCATAGCCTCATGAGGTTGGATCAAGTCATAGCCTCGTGAGGTTGGATCAGATCATAGCCTCATGAGGTTGGATCATTTCGTGGCACTGTGAGGTTGGATCAAGTCATAGCCTCGTGAGTTTAGATCAGGTCATAGCCTCATGAGGTTGGATCAGATCATAGCCTCATGAGGTTGGATCAGGTCTTGGCCTCGTGAGTTTGGATCACATCATGGCACTGTGAGGTTGGATCATCAGCTAGTGAATGTCTGCTGTTTTCCACAAAACTGATACAGCATGTTTTTCTCTGTTTGTACAGGCTATGGCGTGGTGTCCTTGGCAACCATACCTTCTTGCAACAGGTGGTGGAACTGCAGATAGGCACATTCGTCTGTGGAATGTTCAGTCAGGAACATCTGTGGGAGCTTATGATACAGAGTCTCAGGTCAGTTGCAGATGTCTAGGATGTTGTCCTAGTTTTTCTGTGTTTCATTTAGAGCAGAACTGAGGGTTTACATTTATAGGATTGTTCCCAAAACAGGACTTTCCTCTGTTGTGAAACCTTTTTCTTGCTGGCTTATACAATTATAATCAATATTATTATTCAGTGTTTTCAATCACTACATGCCAAGTCATATATTGAAAATAGGATCCTGACGTTTATGGACTTGTCAGGTGCACAATGATGATAATCTGAAGATTAATGTAAAATCAGGCACAAGTTTGTGCCATCTCCACTCTTACTTCCCTCTTGTCTTCATCTGTTTTTTTCATGGTGTTTTTGCAAGCAACGATATGTTGTGTGAAGTATGAATGAACCAATGCAGCAAAATCTGAGAGCAGACATTGCTGGAATCCAGGTGTCATTCATCACCCCCTGGTGGGTGCTGCAGGTGGGATGTATGTCATTCTATTATGTATTTCCATGTACAAGATATGGTGCCGAGGTGTGAGGGAGCCAGCATGGGGGTCCTGTTGTGATATGTTCCAAACTTCATTGAGGCAGGAATGTTTTTGGCTCACATGATAGAACTGTGGGAACAAAGAGAATATTTGGCCAAGTAAAGGGGATCGGTCTGACATGAACAAAACCCATCAGCTGCCTCTTGGGCTGTAATCTGGCAGCCACCATATATTCAGTATGGCTCAAGGCAGGGGAAAAGCTCAGGTATATATAATTGTAACATTTCTCATGTCCTTATTTTTAACCCTTGTTTCCTCTGGAGAAAAGCAATGATTATGTGAAGTTTAGAATGCTTCTTTAAGAAAAATATGTTCCTGTGATATAAATTCAGTTCTGACTTGCCAGGTATGCTCAGTGCTGTGGTCACAAGAACACAAAGAGTTGATTTCTGGGCACGGGTACGCTCTAAACCACCTGCGCATTTGGAAGTACCCAGCCATGACCAAAGTTGTAGATCTTGTTGGTGAGTTGTTTTGTTTGACAGCTATCAGCATGTCTCTTTCTCTCTCCTATACACATAATGGTTAACAGATGTAGAATAATGACTGCATGCAATTTGAAACAGTACAACAAGGGCTGCTTGTAATAAAATAAAGTAATAGATAGTGAAAAAACCTATACACGACATTGGAATCAACAGAGTGAGAGAAGATTAAGGTAGACCCCTTCCCACCCTAGAAACCCTAAAATGGGACCTATTGCATTATGACTCATTTAACTATATAGTTTGACTCTAGTGGTTTGCAAATTATGATTTATTGGAAAATCTGAAAAGTTTATGCAAATTAATTTCCAATATTGCCGCAGTTATACTAAAAATAGTGTATGTTTGTTTAAGATGAAATCTTATCAACCATTTCACTCTTAACCATCACATTTGACACATGTTAATGACAGGATGTTCTAGGCTCTGTATCATGTGCACACAAAAATGTTTGGCTAATTTGTGGCCAGTCAGACATTAGGTGCTCAAGCTGTTACATTTGACACATATGTTTATTGCAGGATGTTCTAGGCTCTGAATCATGTGCATACAAAAATGTATGGCTAATTTCTGGCCAGTCAGACATTAGGCGCTCAAGCTGTTACATTTGGGAAGTTGACAAAAAACACAGGATTTGCGGAAAAGCTATTAAAAAAAAAAACACAATTTTTTGGGTCTAAATTTTACTTATAAAATGACTGCCAATGTCCGCCAGGGGTGTACATAACACCACTCTGGCTTCTGTGCTATCTAGGGGGCATTTGTATCTCATCTGGGGTTTTCTTCAACTTAAAACGAGTTTATACAATGTATGTCCTCCTCTTTGCACCTTTTCTCTGTGAAATATCCACCACACTCCAAGGTTTTCAGATAGTTGTATTGCTGATGATGCACCCTTACTCAGATATGCCACAGAACTATAAACTGCCTCTTCCAGAACAGAATATTCCAATTCATACAACTACATCTTACTGTGATTCCATGTGATAATCCGCTTTGTGAATCTTTATTCAGTTGACACGACAAACTGTTTTGACTACACCCATTACAGTGCTTGATAAAAGCTTAATAGTAGACCCAAATTCATGAGAATAAATAAACTCTGAGGACTTCTGTAATGGTTATTGGAAAGATAGTGCTCTTGCAACCTCATGTTTATTGGAAAGATAGTGCTCCTGCAACCTCATGTTTATTGGAAAGATAGTGCTCTTGCAACCTCATGTTTATTGGAAAGATAGTGCTCTTGCAACCTCATGTTGTTTATATATGGGCATATATTCTAATTATTGATAACTGGTTGCTCAGTTACTTCATCGTTACTAAGTGAACCAGTATTTTTTATCATCTCAAAATTTTCTTTCAACAGAGCTACTAGATTTCTTTTTGTTTCCCATGCTTATACACTAGTTCAACCAAACACACCTGTAAAAGCACACAGAAAGCTCAAATGTATGGGACACATTACACAAAATAACAGAGAATAGGTAACACGTGTTGAAGGTATAGGTCACGTTATGAGAGTAAGCTACCCTTTTGTTGAATAAGTCAGTGTATTCAGATGTAAACATTGTTGCTAAGGAGAATTTTGTGAAGGTTGGATACATAAAGATGCATGTAACTTGAACAAAATGACACTCTTATTTTAAATGACATCAGATCAGTAAAGAAATGCATGTAGTTTCCAAATATGCACTTAATATGTCAATTTTGAAAATGTTCATCATTTTTTTTGAAACCATGATGAACCATGGGGCCACATGAATTGTGAAATAAATAAATCCGTGAAGTTTTTTTTTTTTAAACCTGTACATCTTTTAGTGTGAAGATGGCAACTTATCTGACATGTTTTTAAAACTGTTTGAACTCGTTCGGGCACAAGTGGGAAATGGTTTCAGACGCCAGCCCTGGTGTTTTGTTCATCCACAGCATGTGTGCTACTAGGCACACACTGATGACAAACACTGATAGTTAGTTAGTCAACAGATTATCATAATCGCACATCAAACCATCCAGTCCATAAGTGCTCAGATCCCGTCCTCAGTATCTCCCTCAGCGTGTAGTGGCTTATGACACCAGTCCTGTGTTGGTTTACTGATATAGCGCTATTTTCTGGCTACACCCCCTTTTTGATGTTATGTTCGGGAAGTCTTGTTAGCTTGCAGATTCACTTGATTCGCCTCTCTGAGGGCATTCAGTGTATTAGCCCTGTTGATTGCTCATCTGTTTCCAACGTGAGCATCACTTGCATGTCTGTCGGCTCATTCATTGCCATTCATATCAGAATACTCAGAAACATATATGAAGCTGATTTTTGTCAGCCTAGATTGAAAACACTAATAAAAGTAATTAGTCTTAGTTTGATGGTGACATTCACTGTTCTCTATTCTCTAAACAAACAGGTCATTCTTCCCGTATCTTGTGTATGACAATGTCACCTGACGGGACAACTGTGGCCAGTGCAGCGGCAGACGAGACCATTCGGCTGTGGAAATGTTTCGCTGTAGAAAAACAAACTGGCAAATCTCAGGCAAAGTCAGAGAAGAAACTCACTTCAGGACTCAACATGTGTATCAGATAGCTGGTCAGTGGCGTGCCATGGGAAATCTTCTTCTGGTCTGTTTTATAGGTGGAAGAGAAACCCAACTGAAAACTTTGATCAAATTTTTGTTTCTCTTTCCTATATTATATGCTGTTTTTTGTGTGTGTGTGTATGTGGTAATTGCTATGAAACAGTTCACTTTGGCCATATTATGTTAATTCTGTGGGGAGTTTAGTCCATACTGACCCATTTAGGCCATTTTAAACTAATCGCACATTGTTTGGTTTCTGATGAAGTGTCACATTTTGTTACAAATGTTTTTATGTGTCTGTATTATGTCATCATGTCACTGGGCCAGGTCAGGTATTGGTTATGTTTCTTGCACAGACATTTGAATTGAATTGCAATAAATAAATGTATTTATACCTTTCATCATTTATTATAGTATTTTACTTTCAATACTATATGTTGGCTAGTAAATATAGTTAGAGAGCTGTAAGCTTAGGACTGATGAAATACAGCACATTCATTTATCACTGCCATAGGTATGGCACCTGTTGGGTCTTAAAGGCCAAAAGTCTTCAAGAGGTTTAGCAGAGTGAAAGAACTGACTTTGCAGTCATTCAAAGCATCTGTATCCAGTTATATACTTGTTTGGTCCGTTGATTTCAGTTTTGGCAAAGTCATTGTGCTGTGTATACCTCACCTCATGCGCCACCAGGCTGTTTGATGGTTCCTTATGCAAGACTGCTGGCACACGTCCATGTTGTGTGCCATGCATAAGTCCCCGGGCAGGCGGGGGATCTTGGAGTTGGTGATCCTCAGAGTTGTATCAGAAATTTCTGGCACTCATCAATCCACCCTAGTGCCTAGGTGAAAACGTCCTCAGAAAACAAATGGCAAATCACTGAAGTCTGCTGACTGAGTATCCTACTAAATGACAAGCTATAGTTCAAACGTCTGTTGACTTAAGTATCCTACTTTGCCATCAGCAAAGTTAGACGCTGCAAAGTAAATGCCTCCTGCAGACAGAGAAAGAAATGGACTCAGCCACGGTGGTGGGATGAAGTGGTTGGAAAAAAGGCAGGCCGTCAAGGTGTAGCAGAAGGCCAGGAAGAGTAGCTTCCGGAGTGACCTGAAAGGTAAAGTCAATAAGACAATGATGGCTTTCAAGCTATGCGCAAAGCAGGTCAAGAATAAGAAATAGGATGATTACTGTACAAAGGTGTGCTCTGAAGGGTCTGTCTTACCACATTTTGGCGACTTCATCGGACAATGAATGGCATCACACGACGTCAGGGTATCCCAGACTTTCAAAGCACAAATCGGACATGGCAGAAATCTGATGCAGATAAAGGATAGGCTCTCCTTCAGCGATACTTGGACCAGACCGACCAGAAAGATGAGGCAGCCAGACTGGGAGTTAAGTCAACACTTTCAGAGTTTTATAAAAAAAAAGCAGAGCTAAGTGACGATTACAGTATTACAACTGAGACTATAAGGACAACACTCAAGAAATCGTCCAACACCTCACCAGGCCCTGACGGCATCCAGTGTGCTGACATGCTGCAGATGTCAGAGGGCAATATGTCAGAACTTGCAGGAGAGTTCAATGTCAGCATCAGAAGTGGTCAAATCAGAGAGGAGTGGCTACACAGCTACCTACTACCATTGCCAAAACCAAATAAAGACCATTCCAAAAACAGTGGCTACAGAATCATCACCATGCAGAACACTACAGGCAAGCTTCTGTAGAAAACTGTAGCACGTAGACTCGCTGATGACTTGGAAAAGCATGGCAGGTTACCATCCACACTTGGGGGATACAGACGAAACAAAGAGACATGGCTCAATGCAGCAGTCTTTGCCTGTGAAGTCTTTGAAGGTTTTCAGATGAGAGACGAGACATGTGCAGCTGCACTAGACTTAAAGGATGCGTACAACAGAATACCATTTGAATACTTGGTGCACATACTCCTCCAACTGCAAGTATCTCCCTTCATCACTCACTGGGTAGCCGCAGCACTTTTTCAGAGACAGGTGATACTCAGGTGTGGTTGTTGGTCCTCAGAACCGATAACCATCAGTCCAGGATTGCCTCAAGGTTCTCCGCAGTCTCCAGTCTATTCAACATGTACACAGTGCTGATAACTGAGCTGCAGTTGCACGGGAGTGGCAGGACCTTGTCATTTGCTGAAGACGTCTTGGTAAACCGCCATGGAAGAAATCGCCAATTCAATGCAGAGTGAACTTGATCGTATCTCCTCCTTGTGTGTAGATTCTCAAGTCAACCCTTCGAAGGCCTCAGTAACATGGTTCTCCTTGAACAAGCATATAGTGAAGGCAGACTTACTAGCAGTGGAAAGCAGCGAGGACATTTTAACAAGAACAAATTTGATGACATACCTCGGAGTGGGGTTTAATTGCAGCCTATCCTTCAAAGAACATGCCTGTCAGCAATGAGGGTCCTGGCCGCCGCTAACACTGAGCAGAGACTGCTTCTGCTTCTGTTCCAGGGACTTGTCCTTTCTCCCATCGAATATGCTCTTGCCATCCTCACTGTCAGCCATACTCGAAAGACTTGAGAAGGTGTAAAATTAAGCATTGCGCATTATTCTGGAGTGCAGTGGAGACACTTCTTGTGTAGCAATGAGGTACCTACTTGACTTCCCTACCATGAACTACAGATTCAAGATCTGGAGGGCTCGTGCATACCTCAAGATAAGCTCAGATCTGAAGCACCCTTTGCACCACGTGCTCTTCAAGAAAAGGGGCAAATCATGGCTGGGGAGGCAGAGGATGACATCATGCTGGTTTGCAGCCTTACAAACATCCATCCAGGTGAGGAATGGATACCATCGTCTAAAGCGCCCAGTCTCACATTCTCCTGTGTTGTGACGCTCGATAGAAGTTGTCTGCAGCAGAATCCAGCTGCTGTTAATGCCGAGGTATGCGTTCTCATCAGTGACAAGTCAGATGAGACAGATGTGGTGATCTTCACAGATGGGTCTGTTATACGAGCATTTACAGCTCACTCTTCAGGCAGGACAGTTCAAGAAGCTAGCGGTGCCTTCACTATTACCACCACGAAAACTCTTCTGATGAATATATTTATCCCAGGAGCGCCTGTGGACGTGTCCGGGGTGCTGTGAAGATAATCTAACTAATAACTTATCCTACTAAATGACAAGCTATGGTTTAAACTAGGGCTGTAGATGCAATATATCTTTGTCATTGAAGGTTAGAAAAAAGAATTCTTGCTTGCTATACATCCAGTTTTAACATGGCTGTGAGTTCTGGACAATTGGTAGGTAGACCAAACAATTTCTTGAGGCCTCAGAGATGTGGTTTTACAGAAGAATGCTTAGAATACCTTGGACAGCCAAAAAGAGCAACCAAGAGGTTTTGAAAAAGGCGGGAGCCTGAAGACAACTTACTTCAAACGTCAGAAGGAGACAGTCATCATTTTTCGGCCATGTTATGAGAAGAGGGAAAATAGAACATGTTGTGGAAGGAGGGATAGAGGAAGATAACGAGAGAAGATTCTCAACAATCTTATTGCTTGGCATGGAGGTGTGTCGGCACACGAACTGATTCATGCTGCAGGAGATCGCAGATTGTTACGAGTGCAGCCGTAATAATGGGAAGGCTCAATGTATATAGATGTGAGGTTAAGTATTCCTTGAGTGAGCCCAGTACTAGAACACTATCTATTGACTCTGCATTTATAAAAGCCTCCTTTGGTGATGGGGAATGCCCATGATCTGCACCCCTTTAGGGCTCACCTGTACGCATGCAGCTGGCTTGGACAGGTCCTCTATGGGCAATGCCTGAGGATCGGATTGATGAAGCCATTATATAAATGTTGCTGAAAAATGGCTTGACATATGAGGTCTGGATGTGTCAACGATGGGCAAATATTAGAATTATGCTGTAAACAAACATGACACATTTACATCACTCATACGAGCAAGGAAAGAATATATCTCGCCATGTGCAAACTGACTGATTAGGTCCATGAAGCCAAAGTCTTTCAACAGGAATACTTCCACCATTTCATTCCTGGAGTCACAATCTGTCATTGCAACTCTTTTTGTTGGTCACAACAAGAAATGATTAATTTGTCATTTAAGAGGTAATCAAGAAAAGCGGTGAAAGTTTTAAATACACCAAGACCTGAGTCAGACCAAAGATTGACTTACAAAGCCAGACCAAAGATTGACTAACACACCAGCAACAAAGCCAGACCAAAGATTGACTAACAACACCAGCAACACAGCCAGACCAAAGGTTGACTAACAACACCAGCAACACAGCCAGACCAAAAGTTGACTAACAACACCAGCAACAAAGTCAGACCAAAGGTTGACTAACAAAACCAGCAACAAAGCCAGACCAAAGATTGACTAACAACACCAGCAACACAGCCAGACCAAAGGTTGACTAACAACACCAGCAACACAGCCAGACCAAAGGTTGACTACAACACCAGCAACAAAGTCAGACCAAAGGTTGACTAACAAAACCAGCAACAAAGCCAGACCAAAGATTGACTAACAACACCAGCAACACAGCCAGACCAAAGGTTGACTAACAACACCAGCAACACAGCCAGACCAAAGGTTGTCTAACAACACCAGCAACAAAGTCAGACCACCGTGGCATGAGTTCATATTTTAATTGACCTTTACAAATGTACAACATTAACTGAACAAAAACTAGTGCATGAAATATAGGCAGTGCTTCACACACATTTGACCTTGTAACATAATCCTAGCCTGACAAACTGTCAGGTCTGTTGTAATCATCTGTTCTAGTAATTCTGCAAACTATTCTCAGGGCTCCAGATTGCTAGGATAAATGTGACCAAGTGTTTAGTCATAGATGAGAGATGTCTTGATTAACATGACCAGTGATAACCCAGATTGCGACTGATTTTAACTGGATTCATGCGATTACAAATAGAACTGAACAATCTGACAAACAAGAACTATTACAGTAAGCTCAGGGAAGTTTTAACATTCTATGGTTTGGAGAGA